ATCCCTAGTTTCTGTCATACAGCATCATTTCTCTTCAGCTTTTACCAAAAAAACGATTTTGTCACAATGTTGCGAAACTGTTGGGAGATTCAACAATCAGCTGACATTCACAATGGCAGGCGGCGTGATAATGCGGCGGTTAGCGCTGACGCCTCACAGCAAGAAGGTCCTGGGTTTGAATCCAGTTTGGGGCCTTTCTATGGCGTTTGCTTCAGGTGTCTCCGAGCACTCCAGCTTCCTCCCACAAACAAGCATGAGGTTAGGTTAACCTTAGATGTTAATGTGAGCGTTAAGGTATTTGTCTCTATGTCTCAGCCCTCCAACAGCAAGTCCACAGGGGTTGACTTCAGGTTCCCCCCACTTGTGACCCTGAACTGGATAAGTGGATGTGATGGAGGTAAATGGGTTAAGACCTTCATGGTACCAAATAGATGACTCGTCCCCGTTTCCCCGATTTCCTGACTTTTTAATTGGCAGCTGTTTAAAAAAAAAGGTGCAGTTGTTTAACGAGGCATGTGTGGCTAAGTCGACACGGCGCTGCTCTCACTAGCCTTCACCAGGTCTGCTGTTTCGGAGATGTTAGCCCTCTCTGTCCCTCCGCGGCAGGAAGATGTAAACAGGTAAAGTTTACCGCCTCAGCTCTGGAGGACTGTGACCTACAAAAAAGACCATGGTGGTTAAACATTTAAACATTTAACCGCTCATCCACGCAAAGCCACACTGTGCTGCTCATGATTGTCAATGCTAACCTGCTGCTAGCACCGCTAAAGTTAGCCACACTCAGTGTCAGCCACATTTAAAATAACACCTGCCCATGGAAGCGTGCGATTACTGGTTTCCATTAGACCGTGCCCAGTTTTTACTGTTTCTTAATTTTTGAATACTGGATTAATTAGTTTTTCTTCACTAGTCAGACATTTAAACAAACAGTAAAGTAGCTGTTTAACGGCCTCCTTCTCTCTCAGGTTCATTTCGTGCCATTTCTGCGGTGCGTTAAGGTGCTGCAGATAAGCACCAGCAACCATGATGAAACCACATCATTCACTCCAATTATATCTCTTACACCTCTCACTAAAAATGCTCTAATGGTTAAAAAAAAAGACGAATTTGAATCCCGTGGATTCTGGTGATTGTAAAAAATTAAGAATTAAAGTGATTTTTTTAGTTGTTAACAGGATGTTGTACCCCTTTATTTGAACAGGATATGAACAGGAAGCTGACAGGGAGCTCCTAGCAAGAGTGACTTTTCTTGCAGAGCAACACACACACACACACACACACACACACACACACACACACACACTTCAGTAGGCGTGAACCTGAGACTGAAACTCGCTCTGAAAACCCCAACCAACTCAACTGCAATTAATCAGCTACAAGCCACACACATGCAGAAACATGTTCTCATGTGCGCGCGCACACACACACACACTCACACACACACACACACACACACAGATCTTTGTAAAGCTGTCTCTGAAAGTCTCTCTCACACATGCACGATACAAGTAACAGGAAATAAATTGGATTATGCAAATGAGCTGAGAAAAAAAATAGAGAGAGATGAGAGGAAGGAGGGAGTGACAGCAGGCTAAGAAAGAGAAACAGGAAGGTGTGTGAGTGTGTGTGGCAGCAGCTGAGTGACAAGTCAGACAAAGAGAGCGTCCGAGCGCCTTTCCTCAGCAGCTCGCGTCTTCTTCGCTTCTCAGGTTTCTATGTAGATGCTGCTGTGTGTGTGTGTGAGTGTGTGAGACAGACTGCGTGACATGTCTGAGGAGGATTTTTAGTGACATCGAACAGCAAAATGGATTTCCATCAGAGGGCAGCTCTGGATATCTCCACCAAGAACCCTCAGGACGATTTTGAGATCCAGCTGAGAGTCGGAGGAGGAACCTACGGGGAGGTTTACAAGGTCAGCTGCTTTGTACTGCCGCTACATGTACATGTCTGCTTAAATCAGGTTTATTCAAGCCTTACTTGTATTTTAAGATTGTATTTTAACCTT